ATTTTGTAATGATGATGAAGTTTTTGAAGTTAAATTTGGTAAATTTGTTAATGAGGTTTCTAAAGAAGATTCTTGAGAATTTTTTGTTGAATGATGAAATTCTTCTGATTTTGATTTCATTGGCGTTAATGGTTCTTCTGAATATTCATTATTTGAAGTATTTGAAGTTTTTGAACTAATACTAATACTACTATTATTATTGTTATTATTATTATTGTTATTATTATTATCATCATCATCATCGTCATTATTATTATTATTATTATTATTATATTCTATTGACGACTTTGTTTTTAAATCTTTTGTAGAATCTAATAATATAGTCATTGCTGGGGAAAAACTAGAAACTAACGCATCAGAAGTTTTAGTATTATAAATATTTGGATATTTTAATTTTTTGTAAACTTCCAATAAATCTTCAACTTTTCTAAACTTTCCCAATGACCAATCATTCCATGATTTCTTTGAAAGTAATCTACCTATTGATGATCCCATTGAACCATTCTTATTAATTTTCTTAGATTCTGACCATTTTCCTTGTTGAAACATTGATTTGAAATATATTGATCGTTCAGAAAGTATTGAACTTCTTGCATATAATGTGGAACATTCCGTTCCATCACAACTTGAAAAATTGAATTGAACATCAGATATTTCAGGTTGATTTAATTCAGCTTTCCAGGCTTTACTTAATTCTGAAGGGAATTGTGACAATGGAAGTGGAGTTGAAACACGTTCAGATGAAAATTGAACTTTATTAAATCTCACACCAATTGTTATTTCTCCCTCTTGTGGTAATCTGGTTTTTTTACAGAATTTTGTGAACCCTAAATAAAATTTATTAATTAATTGATTTGCTAATTAGGTTAATTTGATTTCATTAATTAATTTATTAATTAATTTACTAATAATTAAATAGAATTTCAATAATTAAAACATACCCCATACAGGAGATCTAGCATTATAATTTTCTAATTTTCCAAAATTTAATTTTTCATTTGGATTTTTCAT